ACCACACCAAAAACTTAATTACTGCCTTTGCAGGGCTGGAGACGGAATAGATTATACATACCACGTGCAACATTACGAAAGGTGAAAATACTATTGTTTTCTTTATGTAATGTTATGTTTTTAAATAAATTACATTGCCGACAGTAACACATAGTAACTGTAAGCTACATAATTCGATGACCGGTCTGGCAATTATCAATTAAAAACTATTAATTTATTTTACCATGGCTTTAATAAAAAATAAAGAAGACGATGATGATTTTATGATAATTTATTACATAATCAAAGAGGAAGTCTAAATGGTCATAAATATAAATTTACTAATTCCATGGTAATGACTTCCTTTAAAACTGCTTCTTTAATCAGCCGGTTAAAAAAATTCCCGTCTTTTATGTAACATGAAGGTTGATTACAGTGTTCATAACAGCCAGCCACTGGGCCATTATACTGAGCTAGACAAATTCAGTCCACATTCTTATATTTCTTTGAAATACATTTAACTGTCTGTTCTTCCATTTGCGTACAGGTCTTCAGACCAGAATTTTGAAAGAAATTCTCGCCTATATCATACGTGTCCGTCCCATAACTAACCAACTAGATGGCTTACCGAACCAGAAGGTTCATCACCGAATTAACCAAAGCCCTCCACCGGACCCTGTCCTAGGCCAACGAAATCCAGTCTCCTTCAACTCCTATCTCCCATAGACCCCGCCTGAGATTATCCTCCCATCTACTACGTCTAGGTCTCTCCAGAGGCTCCCCTCAGGCTTCCCAAATAGTGGACCCAACCAACTAGATGGCTTACCGAACCCGAAGGTTCATCACCGAATTAACCAAAGCCCTCCACCGGACCCTGTCCTGGGCCAACAAAATCCAGTCTCGTTCAACTCCTATCTCCCATAGATCCAGCCTGAGATTATCCTCCCATCTACGTCTAGGTCTCGACAGCTGTCTCTTCCCTTCAGGTTTCCCAACCAGTACCGGAGTGCTCGCCTCTTGTCCATCCATGCGCGCTACATGCCCGGCCCATCTCATTCTTCTCGACTTAATCACCCTGACAATACTGGGGGAGGAGTACAGATTTTTAAGCTCATCATTATGCAGTTTTCTCCAGACCCCATGTCCCATCCTCTTTGCAAATCCTAATTTTCGAATTTGAATATGTACTTTATAGTATGTACTACCTTTTCATTTACTCTTTGAGATGAGCAGATCTGATAAAACACAAAATTTGAGCCTGTGGATCACAAAAATATTATCGGTGCGCAATATATTTGCCTGACAACATTCAATGTGGATCTCAGTACCAAGTTAAAGAGATTAAACATACAGATGGACAGACAGATGGGTATAATCGCCTTTATTTCATCAATTTGTGCAACTATGGCATAAAATATAAACTAAAATAAAGTCAATATTTTCATTATGGCCGATAAGTTGTCGCAGGCTGACTGGCAAGTGCCAGCCACTATCCAATCATAGGCCACTTTAAGGTTATGGCTGCCGCTCGTAAAATACACGAAAATAAAAAATCTGCTTCCCTGAGAGACGCGGTGCTACGTGACGCACGCTCATAGACCAGATGTGATATTTAAAGCGTTCGGACTCGCTTTTAAAAATCGTGTGC